CATAGTGGAACGGGACCAGAGTGTTCAAGGCTGCCAGCCTTCAGAAGCAGATCACCAGGCCTGTCTCCCGACCTGCCTCTGGTAGGTTTGAAGTACCAGCCTTTCGGCTGCTGGCTGAGCATTCGGCTCGGTGTCTCACCCATGGTTCCTAAGGCAATGAGCTAAATGAAAAGCGCAAGGGCGTGTAAGACCCAATTCTTGTCCCCCCGAAACTTACTCTATTAAATAGGAAATGAAAAAAGATCATTTTAATGCCAAAGAGAACATGACAAGTAATGTAAAGAAGGCATAAATAAAGTACTATAAAAGTTCAGAAGAAAAGAACTTTATTATTAAGGTTATGCAGCTAGAAGAGACTTTGAGGAAGAAAAAGGAAAGCCTTATCAAGAACAAGGTTATTTAAAATTATTCTTTATTTGGAACAGTTGCTTAATAGAAGAGTAATATTCCATGTTGGGAAATCTAAAACCCAAGAGGATTTATTTAGAGGGAATTAGAAACAGAGGAGCCAAGAGATATAGTACATGATTATATAAGCCACTAGTTCAGATGCATCCACCAAGAAGAACAATTGAAAGTAAATACCATTAAAAGGGAATTGAAATATAACTTAGAAAAGAAGGTAGTATAAGAGCGTTTGATCATTTCAGTGGGACCTGCTTTTATAATTTAGAATTTCATGCTAGAATTCTAAAAGTTTATTCCCATGAGTTTGGGGATCTATTAGGTATCAGTAATCTCTAAGAAATCAAGGAAAATCAAGGAAGATGGCTCACATTTTTACATAGTTGGAAAGTGACTTCCATAAATGATTGTCTAGCTAGAAACTTAAATTCCTTGGATTTTCTAAAATTAAGCAGATGACTTGTGAACCCTTGGAGAAAAGCGAACTAGAGACATGAGCAAGTCTTTTTAAAAAGTTATAACAAATGATTGTCATTTCTTTATTGGATAGGACTGATAAACAGATGACGGACATCTGTCCCTAAGTGTGACATATCCTGATTTCAGTTTCCTATTTGACAGATTATCTCCTAACAACAGTGGAGAGTCTAAGAAAAAGTTGGTGTTACTTGACAGAAGTACAATTAGTTGAATTTGTGGTTGCCTGCAGAGTTGTTAATAGAAGGAACCAATAGGAACCTCAATGTGAACCTGAATGAAGGTCTGGGGGCTACACTTGGCCTTACCCCTTTAACGACTCTATCTACACATTAGAGAAAGTCATATGGTCCACGCCCACCAAATGAGTATATGACGTGAACAAGAGAGACAGTCATACGATTCACGCCCACCAAATGAGTATATGAC